ATAGCACTGAAGTATGCAAAATATCAAAAAAAGCATTTTACCGCATTTGGACACTGCCATTAATATTTTTAAATTTTCAAAATAAACTTTAGATATTCAGAGTATATTATTTATTACACATTCCGTAACAAAATATTTTTTAATTTTCCACATTCCAAATTAGTTTGATTATTTATTAACAGATATCCAATTCGTGTTGGGCAAGTTTTTACAAACAAGGCAATTATTTTATATAATATATATATATATATATATATATATATATATATATTGCTGAAATAATATATTTGTCTACAATATCATTGAGACTAGCAGCACTTGCAGCTTCAAGGGAAAAAAGATTTCACTGGCACAATTCGTAATAAGATTTTCTTAGAATGTTCTTTGAGAAGACAAGAGGGCTGTGCTGTTAGGAAACACTTGATCCAATTCCATCTTCTAATGTTGGTGAAGTCGAATTCGTTTATATCTTGCCAGTTATCTCCTCAAACATACAGCAACTCGAATATCACCTCTAGAATGGAAATGTAACTCGTACACTAAAGCAAATTAAATTAATTACATTCATCATACACTAATGAGAGTGTACTTATTCTAGAAATGCAAACGATAATGAATTATGTATATTTGAAAATGAGACATTTTAAATACCTGGGCACTGCAAACAATGGATATATGGATATACAATGCATATATTACAAAACTTGTCCAATACCATACGAAATGATTGGTTAGAAATAATATAATTACAATAATTTGAAACAAATAGAGCAGCAGAATAAATGATACATGTACTTAGGTTAGGTTATACCACATGGATTTAAGGATTTTTAAGACTATTTTGCATGATGTAAATGCTCACAAATGAAATAAACAATCACAATTATGCAACAAGATCCCAAAATTAATTATAAATATACTAAAGTATTAGTATTACCTCCACTGCTGGTAGGGCGAAAATCCTAGCAATGTATTTGTCTACCACCAGTCTTCTCAATATCATCTTCCAAAATACCGAAAACAAAGTTTTAGATATTGCAAATAAATATCGCGACACAATTCACTTTACTTAAAATGCATGACATTCTACATACTAACAAAATGCTGAAAAATTTGGGTTATATCCATAGAGGTAGTAAGAAGAACTAGAGTGTTCATGAGCGCTAGTGTCACTCTAAATGAAAGAGTGCTCCTACGCCATTTTGTTGGCAATAAATGTGAACCTACTGTGAAGTGTAAGGAGTGATTGTTTGGTCGAGAGCGTTTTCGGCAGTGTTTCTTGTCTATTACGAACTGAAGCTCTAGTATTAAAATGGTGATTTCCTGTGCTGCAATAAATTGCAGCAACAGACATAAGAAAGAAGCAGCATTTCCTCTACCGGTTAGCGTTTGGAACAAGTGGAATATATTAGGCGTAATACTTTTCTTTCGTATTTGACATAATTTCTGTTGCAGTTTCCCTCTTGCGAAGAAAGACTTTGCGAGGAGTGGATAAGAAATGTCAGACGATTGAAGTTTTAAATCTACACATCACCATCCATATGTTTTGACCATTTCTAAGACAGCTGCTTTCTAGCAGGTTATGTGAATATAAAAAAAATTGAAAGACCTGATGATGTACCTCCAAAGTTTGGGTACCACACATTTGGTTAAGGTATGAACTGTTTTTTTTGTTTAATGATTGTGAACGAATGTATGTACACTAGGCCCAGCTTCCAAATTCAGTTGTTGTTTTATACACAAATGTGAGAGGTTATGTATGTGCCTCTTTTTCTAAACATCTGTGCCATAGCATGACTATGGGAGAGAAATACAAATTTTGGGATACATAATGTTACACCAATGTAGTACAATTAATTTCTCACTTGCCTCTTAAATTGTTATTCATTTTGAAATATATTAATGATTCCAATTTATCCTGTTGGTTTACCTCTTTGGAAAAGTATTTTATTAAAAAACCAAATACATTGTTATTAATGTTTTGTATTGCAGTTGCAGCAAGAATTCCTGTATTGTAATTTAGAGTATAATTGTAAGAGGAGAAATGTAATTATACAAAAAAGAAAATTATATATTTGGAAAAAATCGGCCAATTGCAATTATATCCTCCCCCATTTTCCTTGATTGCTTAGGTGTGTAGTTGTAGTGACTTGAATTTTGAAGCACTTGTATTCTTAGAAATTATTTGTAATAAGTGCTGAATATTACATTATCAGTTCATGCTAAAGCTGAATGGGATAGCGGTTACAGATTTCCTAAAAACTTCAAGATAAAGATATTAATATTCGTGTCTATAACAATTTGTAACGAAATTGTATTTGATCTGTGTTTAGGTGCAAAGAGGGCCAATCACTGTTTTTAGTGATTGGCTGTTTGTATGTTCAATATGGTGCTTTAAAGTGCCTTCTTTGTGTGAGAAAAGCCATAGTAAATAAGTCGATCTTATGTCCTGATTTTTACTATCAAACTGTACATTTGGGTTATGATGGTTTTGTCTTTTTGACGATGCAAGAAGAGCCAATGTGGACTCTTCTTTTCATAACAGATCCAGGTAATATGATAAATATAAGTTTTTATAATATCGCAACCAATAGATATACTATGAAGCATTTGGAACAACATTAATGAAGGATAAATACTAATTAAAGTGACATTAAGGTCAGATGTCCAATACATTAATCATTCTAGTCATTACTGTTCTTTTGCAATGTATGTAGTTTTGCTCTGTGTAATATTTCTTGATTATTAGAAATATTATATTCTAAATTTCTGTTTGTTTTTATAATCTGATAAATATGAACAAGTGTTCAAATGACTGTTTCACTTACCCCACAGTAGTTTTCTACTGTTCTTGCCACAAACATTCCTATTCTTTCTTCCAAAACCATTGCCATGGCAACTGTTTATTTATTGAACCGAAAATAAAGAATAGATAAAACTTCAGGCATTTTTGAATTTTAACCCATAATAATTAAATAAAAGGGCTATATAATACTTTAGTCCACCCTTCACACAACCAAGTGGGGCTTTGCCAGGGCCAACGCCTACATTTGGTATTGTCAAAAACGGCTAATGTCATTAAAAAGGCTTCAATAATTCAAACTTGATACAAATGTATTGGCTAAATTAAGATAATAATATAGCGTTTTAAAAGCCATTTGCTTACCAGAAATAGTGGAATACACAGAATTGTAACATATGTAATGTTCTGCCAGACGAGAAAACACCCATTCTGACAACCAAGAAGAATATTACATCGGCCTTTCTTGCACCGCGGCACATGTGGTTCTATGTTAAATATTGAAGAAATGAAACGGGAGAAAATGTGGACGAAAAATTTCATCGAATTCCCGCCTTTATGTGCCAACAAATGGGGATGAAGGTGGCCTTCTATTTGCCACAGCTTCGGATTGCTACAGCCATGCGCGTAGGAGGGGCTTGGTTGCCAACGATGTCACTCCCAAGTCTCCGAGCATTCTTCACAAAGTGGAATCAGTATCGATATTTCGACACCATGCCTCCTTCGCCTTAGTGCTAGTAGACTTGCCATCTGCATCTACAAAATGCCATGAATCCAGTTTCCTTTTCATACTTTGCCAAAATTCTAAATGCTGAGATGTGTTACTCAGTGGTCTTCTATAAAAGTGAGTGTCATTCAAACTGTTAAAAGAATTAAAGAGATCAGTGATGTTATTAATAAATTCAGCCAAATACTTGGCCCCTTCCACACCACATTTAAATAGTGCATTAGCAACAGTTACTCTCAAAACCTGAGCAGCTAACTTCACTTTCATTTTCCTTTTATTGATAAATATGTTCATTTGTGATATGCCCCAGGTTCTTATTAAATGATTTTTTTTTTTCAATTCAAGAAGGCCCACTAAAAATTGCCAGCTAGTTTCTTTAACTTCTCCACTATCTATAATTTTGTTGTCCAAAAGAGCATTTCTTGTTGCTTTGCTAACATGAATAGGATAAGCAATTACAATAATTTTACAATTATTAATTTTTTAAATTGGTCTATCCCAATTGCAGGTTTTTAAGGCCAAAGTTTTCAAGCAGTGATCACAAGTCGTCAATATTTATATTTGCGGCAATTTGTTCACAATATTGTATTTATGAATACATGTGCTTATGTGAATGTCACATAGTTTCTAGAAAACTCATCAGTTATCTGTTAATACTAGCTCAAAATTCTGCATTTTTAGAAACGCTACACGCCATTTTCTCAAAAAACGGCTCTAAATTGTTTCTTCAAACTTTTCGAACGGATAGTGCTAATTGCACTCTTTAATATGACGTAAAACTAATATCGGAGTATTTTTTTAATTATACAAATGTAATTTTGTTTAAATATCTCTCACGCTGTTAATATGCATTTTTCAGGAATTTGTAAACTCTATTGCGTTTGTGAGTTTAAGTGCCAAAATCCCAAAATGAAGTTTTTCGAAAACTCAAAAATTTTCTGTGTAAAAAAGCTTTGATTTTCAAATTTACAGTAGTGCTTAAACGCCATTTTCTTAAATACGGCTTAAGTTTTTTCAAAGAAAATTACCATTTATGATGAGTTTTAACTCGTCTTTAATTTTCATAAAATAATATTTCCGGTCTACAATTGGGAAACCAAAAAATTGCAAAAATTTAAGTTTGTTAAGTATGATAGTAGTAAGTAATAATAAATAATGTTATTAGTATAATGGTAGTAAGTAATAATAAATAAAGTAATTTAATTAAATAAAAGTATATGGCAAGTCGGAATAGCTAGCCCAGACCAAAGGAAATAAAAAATCTAATGTGGGAAAGACTGTGCCATTCTGTTCGCTCCTAGTTTCTACTTACTTTTGCAACAATCGATTTGGCAACAGTGCACGAGATTCTTCCATAAGAATAACATTATCCATAAGAGTCCATTGGGCCTTCACGACGTGAAAATGAGTATAGTAACTTTGTGTATTTTTTTTTTTTTTTCATTAGGTTCATGTCCTTCAGTCTCATGCAGGTGCTCTTTTGCAGTGATGCACACCGAATGTGGTTGGGATGGCAGCAATTATAGTGTCGCGGTAAATCGAAATCTCAGGAGAGTCGGAGCCCACAATCGACAAGGGAGTTCTAAGGGAGGGGGAAATGATGTCATATTGTGGAGACATGAGCAGCAATCGAAGCAATAAACAAATCAATAGAAGGTGGTGGACGTTGAATGAGTTGAAGTAATTTCGTTAACTTTTGCCATCTTGTTATACGGTGCAACTAGTGCTGTGGGAATATGGAAGTGACACAAGCGTTCACAGTGTCACGTCACATCGTACTTGCACACTAAATATCCATGCTGTTTTAAGTATATCCTTCTTGAAAAGTGGCATTGACGCAACTTTATTAAACAAAAGTTATGGTGCTTTAGGAAAAGTTTGTAAATTTTAAATTAACATCACGAGCGTAAATTTTTTGTAGTATTTTGAGATAAATGTATGTTTTATTCGTCAGGTTAACTGAAAAAATACCAGAAGAATGCCGACTCATAAAATGAAAAGCCTTTATCAAATCTGCCTAGATAACATTGTGTTCAATGTAGATCGATGGCTTAGTATTAAACAGGAACAGGAGGCTAACGGCATATTTTTTGCAATCAGTCCATTTGACATTCTACGTAAGTAATCTGTGCTCTATCCTAAGGAAAGGATGAAATACCATTACTTTATAAATATAATAAGTTATTCCATTCTTTCAGCTGCCAGTATTGAGCAGGACTTGTTGGAAACATATGAAAATACTGATGTGCCACCTGAGCGCAATAGTTATTGGCTCGATCAAGATAGATGGCGACTTTTTGTAACAAGGCAGATTAATCGTTTATCTATTACAGAATGCACTGATGAGCTAAGTTTGGTTCATATTGCTGCCACATGCCGAGTGTGTTTTTTAATATTTTTGAAGTAATATTTTGTTATAAATAAAATTTTTGTTGATTTTTATAAGGGTTTTCTTTTCTTCTAGAATCTCAAATACCTTGAGATAAGGAATGTACAAGAAGTTTTGCCATATCTCAAAGCTGTAGCACCTTGTTTGTCAACCATAGTAACATTAAATTTTGAAGCCATGGCTCATGTGAATAGCAGCTCTCTTAAATACATTCGAAATCATTGTCCAAATCTACGGTAAGATATTGATAAAAATATTATTGTTATTTATAATCATTGCTGTTTTTTAGCCTATTATATTAATTGTAAATTGTTACAGGGTACTAGGTTTGAAATCATGCTCATTAAATGATAAAGCAGTGTCACATCTGAAACACCTTAATATGCTAACTGATTTAGACCTACGTGATACAGAAGTTACGGCTTCAGGTGTTTGTCAGGTGTTAAAGCACAACCCACAACTATGCAACTTACAACATCCTGATGTTGTTCGTGCTTTATTTAAAATGCATGCCACAAAATCCTGGTTGCTTAGAGTTTCTCCAGTGACGTCGTATCAGTTGAGAGATGTAGAATTTGAGTTGTCATGCAAGGATAGTCCTAATTTACTTTCAGTAGTTGCAAATGTATGCCCTGCTATTGAAAGAGTTAGAGTTGAATTTGATGCTCGATCATCTCCACATGTTTTAACAGCCCTCACTCGTCTTGAAAAATTAACAGAGTTGGATATTCAGTGTGTAGCAGATAGTGGTAAAAAACCATGGGAAGATTGCCCTCATTCCCGTACTTCAATAGATACAGACTCGTTATTCCAAGGTAGTATTGTACCCATATTGGAAATTCGAGGAAAACAACTGCTCACATTATCATTAGAAGGAGTTTCTCATGTTAACATGGAGATAATCGAAAATACTTGTCCAAATATTGTTAATTTAGGCCTTTATTACAACTCGTACATTCAAGAATCGTTTCATGTTCCAGAGAATATTTTGGCTCAAAAACCATTTTCATTATTACGTCGTCTAATGTTTGGTTCAAACTCTGGTAACAACAATGATTTTCCTCCGTCGTATCTTGAATGGCTTCTTGCAAATCAGGATTTGGAAGAGTTATCACTTTCAGGTTCGCCTCTCTTTACCAATGAGCTCTTCAAATGTGCCTTTGAAAATTCAAATGCATATCCTAAGTTACGTCGTCTAGAGCTTGATTATTGCAACATTAGTTCAGAGGTCATTACAGAGTTCTTGTACCATTGTGGCAGGAAGTCACTCAAAGAATTAAGCATTTGTGGACCCTTTGTTCATGAACAAGCTTCCCCTGCTCTCTGTTACATTGTGTGTGAAAAATTAGATGTTCAACTTGAAGCGTACTTTTACTCTTTCATGAAATTAAAGAAACGTGTAGTACGTTATAAACAAGATCTTAATTTCTTGTGGTAAGCTCATGCTAAAGCAGAATTTCATTTACGAATGCATTCAGGGTGTAGTTATGTTTAATTTTATTGAATATAATTTCAAATAATAATTTTTTATATATTTTTATAGATTTAATTTGTTAGTAAAATGTGCTGTATTTTAGTAAGTTATGAATTTGTGTCTTAGTTTTCGGGAAATCGTATTATGATCTTATACTTAATGTAATTTAATAATTTATAAGCTGTTGAGTTTGCACAGTTATAATTTAAGGAAAGGATCTGAAATTTTTAAAGTATATATTTTGTGCTTCAGATTTTTTTTTTTTTTTTTTTTTTTTTTTTNNNNATTAACCAAGCTTTGATAAATTAGTTTATTCATGTTATTTTTCTATATTCTTGTGCGACTAAAATCCCAATGCTTGTATTGTGACCCAGATTTCAAGCAATTGTTTAATTGATTAATGTGTTGATGTCAGCAAGAAATAAGTGTTGAAATGTAGTTCATTGAAAGACCTTGTTTGTGCGTAGAATCAGAAAGTTGTACTTATCTGCTGTTTAGTGGTAGTCCAACTGTTGCATAGTCTGTGTTGTGCTATTAATAAATGGTTACATTTTGCTGTTGAGAAAATAATTTCTCAAATAATGTTAAATGTTTTATGAAGGCAGACTTTGTGAAGTTGTAATCATTTTACAGAGGGCGCTTTAAATTATAAAAGTTATTTTCGTATTAATCTTGAACACAATTTATTTCTGTGTCTCAAGAAAGAAGTTTATTATAAATTATAATTATTCCGTGTAAAACAAATTATGCCATCTTGAAATGCACAAACACAGTATAGGTAAGTAATTTCCGGCGATCTCAATTTTCCAAAATTTGACAACATAAAAATGTATAAGGAAAATGGTGCAAGAATACCAAGAGTAAGCAATTTGCTCTTTTGAATAAATGAATGGCAAAAACATACAGAAGATTATGGTAAAGAAATTGGGAAGTTACAGAAAATATATTCTATAGGCCTATTGGAATGCAGATAGGGGTAATAATGATTGGTAAAAGCTAAATTGGTAATGCTGGTAAAAGCTGTAATTCAAAGACAGTGAATGCAGGCATTAAAGGTAAGAAAGGAGAAACTGATAAAATGGCCTTTTTCAAAACAAAAAAAAACAAACAAAAAAAACCACCACGTGTGAAGTATTGTTGACTGAGAAACTGGTGGTCATGTAAATATGGTGGTATGAAACCAGGATTTAATAATGTTGTGGTTTGGAAGTTGACTTTGTCTTAAGAGGTCTAATTAATACTGTGCACATAATTGATGAGTTTTGCTGTAAATAATGGTATTGGACTTTTTGGACAAACTGATATTTATCTTTATGATGTTCACAGCACTAATAGCGAGTACATCGACAATGTCTAATTCCATCATTTACACCATATCCCTCAATTAACTTTCTGAGGATTGGTGTTTGTCTATTGCCAAAATGGAAATGGTTTATGAGCTTAAAATACACGGTTTCATAAATCTTAGAAATATTGATGATTGTATTTTGTTATATAATTGTTAATGAATAGTGGCAAAAATTATTTTAAGAATGTAATGTTAGTTCTGTGGTAAATTTCGTGTAGATTTTATGCACAGTCCTCTTTAAAACATATCAATTTTTAGTGTTCTGGAAATGCTTTGAGCTTATAACTGCTGTAAGTATATACAGCAGTTTGTACTGTAGTAGGCTTTATGTTGTGATATGCTAGTCACCAATGGTATTATCAATAAGTACCTGCTTTAATTCACCCTTGGGCGTTTTAATACTTCCAGTGTTTTATACATGTTATGACCAATGGGTTTTCTACATATCAAAAATACTTTATAGAATAAAGTGGATTATATTTATATCATTATGTTTTGTTTATATTCTAGAGGAATTAATTTTATTTTACTCCCTGGATAAAAATGTAATGGCTTCTTTCTGTAGAATATTGCTTTACTGTGCCAATATAAATTTCGTTCAGAAATGAAATTACAGCTGACATACAGTAGTTTGAATGAATGTGTTTTACTGGTTAGGAGAATGCATTTAAATTAGTCAATTTTTGTTGCTGAATTTCTTGCAAGGAAGTTACCAACAGGTCAGGGACATGTATTTATTACTACAGAAACATAATTAATAAGAATGGTTAATTTGCTTGTTTGGTGTCTACATTAAGTAGCATTTATGTTTTGAAATTATACTCTAGTCACATTCTTCCATATTATTTTCAACATTTTATTTACTCCTTTTTAGGGGAAAATGAAAGACATTCTGTTATATAGACAGTGTCTTCTAGTTCTTGATCTCAAAACAATTTCTTTTGATCTGATATACTAATGTAGGACTGTTGGGTTTGTTGAAACTGGCCCTGAAATTGCTCTTTACTTTCGTTGTTTGCAACTAAAAGAAAAGATAATTAAAATTTGTTTTCCAAGATTTCATGAAATGCTGCTATTTAGAAAATGGTTTCCCATAATATTTTTGTTTGAGTTCTGCTGCAGCAATTACACAGCTACAGTAGTTTTATTGTTAATCTTGTAGGGATGTTTGACTAAGCCACGCTTCCCATAAAAAAAAATTTCAGGAAATAATCTCTCTTTGTGTTTTTATATCCATAAGAGTGAAAGAAATAGAAAATGATTTATTTGTCTATTGCACAAGTTGCCCTTTAGGCAGATTTCTCAATAAACAATAAATGAGTATGAGTGTTTGTTTTTACATGCAAGACTTTAAGATAGTATTTAAAAAAAAGAACACTATTTAGCTAGTGTAACTGATAAATTGTGAACTTCATATTTTAGCTTAAGGATCTTCCTGACATTTTTATAGTTTTTGTAAAAATTGCTAACAAATAATGCAAAGAGAGACAAATACACTATCGTGCATAGATTTCTAGGGTATTTGGATACAATTTCCTGGCAAAGCTTTGTGTGAAGAAACACATTTATTTTTGGCAAAAATTATGAGAATTTTGTATCTACTTTTTCTACAAGAAAATCCGTTTAGAAGAAACTGCTGTCAAAAATGATATTCACTTCAAAACTGCAATCCTTGTAAGGGTATTGCAGTGAATTGTTGCCTTAAATTCGGAAGGGTTGCAAGAAACCTTATTGGAGGGCAGCTCAGGCAAGGAATTCAAAGGGACCATGAAAAGTGCTAAGTTCAGTTTGTTATTGTTAAAAAAATGAATATATTTAATATATATGAAATACAGAGGGTATATTAATTCATTTACTCATCTCATTTCATTATTTGATATGGTAGCATTCTACTTAATTACCATTTCTACTTTAATCACATGAGTTTGTGTAAAATACTTTTAAAATTTCTTGAGAAGATGGTGTGAAGAAAGTCAGCTAATGTGTAAATGCATTAATGTCCACATCTGTTTCAAAAAGTGTATTTTCGTTGTATCTTATTGAAAGTTTTAATCTCTAATCTGTGTAAAGTAATTATTCTGAATCTCGTCGTAGTTGAACAATAAAATTTCGTAGACTGTCTGGAATAGAAACTCGAAATACACTACCTTTATACTCTGGGAGTGTCAGACAAATTGAAATTGTGTATTTATGTTGTGATGTAGATATTCTTTTGTGTAGATTCAAAATCTATGTGAAATAGAGTGCCAAAATTGTACTTTTTGTCTTCAGAATAATTCATTGCTCAAAATCAATTACTGCAAAGAACATAATCAGAATAAATATGTGAAATGTTAAAAAAAGAATAAGTGTATCAGTGTAAAAATGATGTTATATGGTCACTTCGGTGTACATTCTTTGTGTTACTTAGTAGTTTCACTGGCATGTTCTCCACCGACTTAAAAATGTTGATAAAATATTTTATTTATAACCTGTTTTATATCTTACAAAATTAATTTTATATATAACCATAATGTCACTGGAAATTCTAAGTTGCTCAGGTTCTTAAGGTTTTTTGAAGAGTGACTTGTTATATTGTTATTGTTTTTTGAAGATATGACCTTATATTGTATGTAACTTGTTTCTTTCAGTTAAATTTGCTCAATTTTTTTTTCCTTTGTTATTTTACATTACTTGTAACAAGTGCTGTTCCAAGGACTTCACAAGTTTATTAATAATGGAAATTGTGGGAATTATTTCTTTCATATTGTTGTACAATGTGAAACAATGTGATTCACTAGTTGTTTCTATTAAAGAGCAAGTCCAAGCATGACTTATAAACCAAAGATTTCTTAATAAAATATAAATGACAATTTTGTTGGAACATACTGAAATGCACCTCAAGGATTATTTTTATGTAAGCTGTAAATTTATATTCCAACACCTAAGTTTGTTTTTGAGATTATATGTACAATATTGAAGTCAATTTGAATTATGAAAACAATTTGTGAATTTTACCAGAATTACAGCAGTTCAGTAAAGAAGCAAATTTCTACATCACTTGCCTCACGTATGAAAATAATATTGTGTACCTTTAATTAAACATTCCTATAAGTTGTGATGATTTTTGTTATTTACATGTTTAATGATGAAAGATTGTGTATTGTGTTAAACCAAGGATACATTTCTATGGAACTCTTGCCTGTGCTATCTGTATAATAAATCATAAAACAGCATTTATCTTTTCCAAAGGACTTTTTACTTATCCTGGAAAAGATTTCTGCTTTTCTGAGCAACATTCCCTTCCCAGAGAAATATTCTCAAATTTAATTAGTGACTTGCAACGACTCATTAGCAGGACACAGCTATCCAATCAGGAGCTTTGTTACAACTTGAATTTTTGGTATTGAAGTTTCCTATTTTTAACCACCTCACAGCTGTCAGAAGTCACCATCATTAAATCTGACCGTTGGGATTTCTCCTCCCCCTTCCCCCACTACCCAAAAGTACACAACCATGTGCTCACACACTTTCATAACATTTCTTACTTTCACAAACATGTCAATCCAATACAAAAAATTAAAATATAGTTTTTATAAATATGTATATCAAATATTAAAATGTTTAAACATATTTGTTATGTTTAAAGAGATTAAATTATATATTGAGCAATAATATAAGAATTATTTTTTGAAGAAATAATTTAAAATAATACTTATTATGGTTATTTCTTTTCTATAGAAGATTCCCACATAAAACAGACATTTTTAATCTAAATTCTGATGTAACAATTACAATACTGATTAAATGCATAACCTACATGTTCCCTGTTCTCAAACTACTCTCGAAAAAGTACCCTAAGAGAGTATTACAACAAGCTGGGCCATATAATTAGAGCCATAAACACAACACATGCATTTAAAAATTAATTGAAAGCTTTCCTCCTTAACATGTTCTACAGAGTGAAGGAATATACAAATCACATCACTACTTCGCTTAAAACTATGTAAATAAATAAAAATTCTTATCCCATTTGTCTTTCCATTTCGTGTTGACTGTTTCAAGCTTAAGTAAAGAAGAAAGAACTTCCATATACCATCCTGCCTGAGTGAAATTATAGGACTGATGTAGCAGCAGAACGCCTGACCAAAATTTTATTTCCTCCATCCTGGATTTGCTAGATGAATTAGGCATTATTATTGTTGAATCATATTGTCAATGATTATTATTATTATTTTTATTATTAGTTGTAACTAGGTTAGTAGGCGAATGTTGAGTCGAAGGCAGTCTAAAATAACTATCTCTAGATTGCCTTGGTTGAGTCTATCTTTTAATAAAGAAAGGTGGGTTAGGTTCCTGAATATCAAAAAACTGTAGAAAATTGAAAGAAAAAATATCTCACCAACAATTGAAGTAGAACTGAGTAAGCGCTACTACAAAGAGAATTCACACTTAAGATACCAAAGTGCATAAATAAAACAGACACTTATTTAATAATAATAATATAATAATATTTATTGACTCGCAAATACAATTACAATCTTGTATGACGAGTCAATATGATGCCTTGGGTGGAGAGAGCGAAGTTACATTACTGTTCGGGAGCAAACAAGGGGCCATCTCAAAGGACCAGGGAAACTGAACAAAACCTGATCGAGAGGGGTCATTGGGCCTAGAAATCCACAATTTGTTACAGTAGATTTTCAAGATATATCACCGTAGAAAATTTATCTGCTAATCGAAATAACATTACAAGATATTATAAGTAGTTAGCATTCAAATAACCATTAATTAATATTAATTAATAATAATATAATATAATATAACTAATAGCTAATCTTATATTTCCAAAAGACTTACATTGACGAGTATACGAAAAACCGCATCACCATAAAAAACAATAAAATAAGAATACCTAATTTTGTTTGACTACTTTACACTACATTATACATCTTGTTTTAACCTTTCGGTAATAATTACCTGAGGTCTTATGCAGGTGTAAATTTTAAATTTAAATATAAATACTATTATTACATGTTTATTTAACTTATTCAGTACCTTTAAACCCTCTCCTAAGTACTTCTAATGGTACTTGTCAGAGAGGGGTGTGTTACATCTATACGCTGTGTTTTGTTCATGTTTTTTCTTTTGTTTTTTTTGTAATTACGCGTTGTTGATTATTAGCTTCAACTCATCCATCAGTTCTGCTTTTGACGTGAATTGTTTTTATTGGAATATTTGATTTTTTCCTAGGAAACTCGACAGGGCAGAAAGAATCACACATCTCCATTATCTAGATAACAATAAATTGTAATAAATAAAAAGATATGTTAGTTGGCAACTGGTTATATGAAACTAAGCTTTACTTAATAGAACCATTTGAAAATTGCAGTGACAAAGTTCACAAGCCAAAGCGAAAATAAAAATTTATTCCTAAATATAAGCAAATACAGGTAAACAAACATAGAACATTTCTGTGGCAAATGGCAAGCTTAGCACTTAACTTGAAGTTTAAATTGTCCCATTATAAATCCATTGGAAATTAAATACATTGGACTCAAAACAAAAATTAGTGCCATAGCCATTAACGAAACTGAATGAAGAGTAAGCAGGAGCAACTTAATCAATTTTTCAAATTATTATCTTGTGTAGACCGCATGTTCATAATATGAAGATTTATTGAATTAACTACATATATATTTACAACAATAAGATCTTCAATAATGACAAAACTCAACCAGCGGACAAAACGAAAACAAACATGATTCACTTATTCTCTAACCCTAAACAATGGATGTAAATAAATAAAACTACATGGCAGTTGCGCACACAGGCAAAAATGAGTAATTAAGATGTTAATCATTAGCCATGTTGAAGACCTATAGTGACAATCAAAAACAAATAATAAGACACACAAACAATTGTGTGGTCTATACAGAGATCAATTAAACAATCACATAATTACTTGTTGACAAATTACAAAATATTATGTAAAATATAACAAAAACAAACAAACAAATAATGGAAACTGGGACTGAGAGTAAATAGAATACATTGATTGTTCAAAATTATCATCTTGTGATAACCGCAAGTATACGTTAATGAAGATTTAGTTGTACATAATTCACAACATAAAATCTGTATTGACGAAACTTAACATGCAATAGCAAATCACACATCGAAGTCGTAGGCTTCCGCGACCACAGAGTCAATGTGGGGGTTGAAATTTTTCTGGGCTGGTCCGGGTGACGCCGGCGTCCGAAGGCTGAGTTGCCTGACGTTTCGACCATCCTGTCGGGTCTTCCTCAGGGCTGGTAATCATACCAGATCACCCACAAGAAATCACAATCGTCCCACAATTAATTACTAAACTAACAAATTAATTGTAAAGGCAAAAGAAGAACTATAAATAACTAAATTATAACCACACTACGAATGAGTGTATACAGGAACATTAATCCATTCCTTAGAAATTTGAATCTTGTGATGAGGTGTTTTACTTGTATCAGTGAACGATTTAGTTGTACATAATTGACAGAATAAAATTCTTTATCATGACAGTTATGCAGTTCAATAATTGGCATGAGAAGTTAGGATTTAACTTTATTTACTCTTCACAGACGCTGTGATAGCGCATATCCAACAAATATACAAAAATTCCCTCCCCCAAAACAACATATATTTTCTTTAAAATTAACCAATAAATTGTAAAATAAAGCAAAATGGGCAATGGGCTAGCAGGGGGGTTGAGGGAGGAGAGGGGGTAGAATATATTGCAAAGGGGGTAGAGGTGTATCAAAAACATATAAAAAATTCCCTCCCCCCCAAAGATACATATATTTTTTTAAATATTAACAAATAAATTGTAAATAAAGCAAAATATGGCAATGGGCTAGCAGGGGGGTTGAGGTGAGGTAGAGGGGGTAGAATATATCAAAGGGGTGAGTGAATTCAAAACATATAAAAAAATTCCCTCCCCCCCAAAATACATATATTTTTTTAATTAACAAATAAATTGTAAATAACAGCAAATGGCAATGGCTACAGGGGGGGTTGATGGGAGGTACGAGGGGGTAGAAGTGGGGGGGTAGAAAACATTTTTTGTAGTTATTTGTATGATTTTGAATAATTATGTTGTTGAAAATTCAAATGAAAATTCACAACATTCGATGCGAGGGCAATAGGATGGCAAATTAATGAAAGATTTGGGTCAATGCTGAGATTCAGATGGTATGTTGCTAATTGTGCAGTATGGAATAGTGATAACTTGTTAACTCCAATTGATATAATTATAATACATTTTATATCTTAAACATTGGCTAGGAATTGTTATGAGTGTTATTAATGCCGATGAGCAAAAGTTAAAATTCGGAGGAGGAACGTACCGGAATCCGAAGATTATTAATTAGCACGAGGGAGTAAAAACACAGTAACATTTCGTGGTAATGTTCAGAGTTGTTATTGGTCACTCGACAAAAATTCAAATAATTTTTAGAGATCCCTTGACAGTAGAGATTTCAAAAAACATTCATGTATTTTTGAATTCTCAACCGTTTAAAAAATGGTATTATTTTTCACGAAGCGGCGGGTATTGTGAAACTTTTAGTGGTAGCGCGAAACTGTATTGACAGCATATCCGCTAGCTAATTTTTCTACGGGAAGGCTAGTTTGTCATCCTTTAATTTTTTCGTACTGTGTTCTACCTAACATACCAGTCTTTTAATCCTTTTTTGTCGTTTAAGTGGATTTTCTTAATTACATGTAAGCGAGGCAGCGCGGACAGAGTCTGCCTACCCGCGACTCCAAGTCCTCTTTCACGAGGCCAATTATCAATAATTACTATTCAATTAAATGTTAATAATTCTTAAATATAATTTAACTATACAATTTTCGTAAAAAACGCTTTTTAACATCCTTTTTCTTGTCTTTATTAATTTCTTAAAATTAGCTGTATACGACGC